TTTTTTTACAGGTTTTGATTTTTGGATCATATGAAAAATAAGTCGTTATGCTGCCGAAATTTAGTTAGAATTTAAGAATTTTAATAAATGTAATTTATTTGACAGGCCAGTACGGAGACCCAAGAGCCGATGTCTGCTATAGACAATTGGGCGGACATGCATCGTCGCAGGAACTCTTGGGTTAATACCCATGCGGAACAGACTTTCGTAAGTATTTTTACTTTTCATATTAAAGTTTTTTATACTAAGATAGTGGTTTTATAACACGTAAAAATAATTATAATGTCTTATTATGTAGAACACCCTGGAGGAGGAGAGACAAATGCAGAGAACACAGACTACTTCAAGCTCGACTAGACCCCCCCCTTGACGAGCATGGGGTTTTAGAGCAAGTTTTTGGCATGCGTAGAGGACATAAGATAGGAATGGGTCCGACGCTCTCCCAAAAGTATTACTCCGGGGCTTCTCCTTCATCTGCTGGTTCATTCTCGGACGCAACATCATCAGCTCAACCTGACCCACGTGTGGATCGTTATTTAAAGAAATCGTACCGGGAACAAATGAAGATTTATGACAATCAGGTGAAGATGTTAGAGTTGGTGTCTAAATTGCAGCCCAACATCCAATTACCTACGATTGCTCGTCCAGAATCAGTTGACTCAAACGCTCTTGAGCTGCCTTCTTCAGATGATGACAGTCCTAATGATGATTCGGTTGTTGGCGATGCTACAAACTTAGACCATTAGTTTCGTTATATGTACTATTTTATTTTTCACATTATTTAGACTTTTATATTTTTGTGAACATTATATATGCATTTCATGTAGTATTCATAATATATTTTACAAACTTATTTAGATTTACTGTTTTTAATATTAATTTATATTTCACTTTTAATGTATCTTAATAAATTATATTCAGTATTTAATATAATAATGTTTAATTAAAATTATTAAAAATTAATTAATTGCTATTTTTTAAAAAAATTGAAAAAAAAAATTTTATTTCAGTTTTTTACGACGACTTTTTTATACTTGTCGTCGTAAAAAAGTAAGATTATTTGCGACGACATTTTGAAATTTGTCGTCGCAAAAAATATTATATCACGAGAATTTCACAACGGCGTATTACCGACGCTTGTCGTCGCAAAAAAAATATGTCGTCGCAAATATATTTACGACGACTCTATGGCATCGCAAAAAAATTTTTTGCGACGACATATCTGCGACGACATGTCGTCGCCAAAACGATTATTTGCGACGACACTGGGGTTTTTACGACGACTTTTTGTCGTCGTAAAAACCCCTTTTTCTTATAGTGTCAATTCATGAAACCACACTACATAATTTAACATGTAATTTAATTAAAATTCATAAACCTTGTTGTTAGGTATTTTTATTAGTTGACAATTTATTGACAATCTTGTAAAAATTTAAAAAAGAGATTCAAGAAGATTTCGTATTACAGAAGAAGATTCAGAATCAGATTTGAAGTTAAAGTTGTAGATTTTGTTGAGTTGAGATTTGAAGAGATAAGGATAAAAACTTGGTCAAAAGCAAATAAGACATTGGTTGAGATTTAAAGAGATAAGGATAAGACCCTGATCAAAAGAAGATAAGGCATTGGTTGTTTGAATTTAAATGGGGGATAAAGCTTACATATAGATCAAGTTGTTTTCAGATTTGAATTCTTTGCTTAATCTGATTATTGTTTGGAGTTGTTCAAAATTGGAACTTACGGATAACGTTTACAAAAGAATATTTAAAATCAAATCAAGCTTGATGTATTACGTGAAGCATGGGAGGTTTACATGTGATATACATATTGGAAGTGAAAGGAGCTTGCAGAAGAAGGCAACGGGTGAGGTAAGATAGATTGGATTATGTGCTATAAAGGTGATGGTGGATGAGAAGGTTAATTAAATCCGAATTCAAAGTTTAAAAGGACAATTAATTCAAATTTGATAGTTTGCTGCATAATTTGAATTGGAGATTGAAAAGATAATGTGAAGATATTTTAGAGTCTATCTAGGAGAGAAAATCACGGAGATAATAGAGATCTTATCGAGAGTAAATTTAGATGAGATTCTCTTCACTTTATTTAAAGGCATTGTTTCAAAGCATATGTTAATATGAGTTTAATAGAATATTTTTAGAAAAGAGTTTGTGAGTTTTTATGAGCCTAGTATGCTATTGTGATCGTCCTTCGGGAGAGGGATTTGTTGCTTTTGGGAGGAAGCTCTGCCGATCGAAGGGAGTTCGCCAAGTGAATAGAAGACGTGTGGTGCATGCTAAATAATCACTGTGGAGATTCGTCACAACGGCGTCATTGTCTATGAGAGTCCTTGAGTGAATAAGTCCGTCCGGTGTCTGTAATTTCTGGAACATAGTGAACTGTTTACTGTCTAGGCGTGGCCCTGCAGATGTAGGTGTGCACACTGAACTACGATATCATATTGTGTGTTCTTTTGATTTCTCCACTTTATTCTGCTCAAGCAACTGTACGTAATTAACCCGGATCTTAATTAATTAAGTCGTGTTCCATAGAGTATTTTGACATCATCTGAAATAGCAGACGTAACATCAGATCTAACACTTGTAACATGAATGATGGACATGAGCTTTCACATCTACACCGAGCTCTCGTCGTCATCACTTATAATATAACTCAACATGTATGTCAATATCAAAATTTATAATCTCGACATGTATGCCATTATCATAATTTATAATCATGAATTAATATTTGTGACATGCCATCTATAGGGAAAAAATCATCAAGAGTACAAAAACGTTTGAAATTATAAAAAAAAAAAAGGTGACGTTACATTAAAAAAGTGGCTATGGAAAAAGCCAATCCGGGAGCAATTAAGGGCTCATTTTAGTTTGTTAATTCGAGTTTTTAATTCGAGTTGACATGTGATTTATTTGAGAACTTTTTACTGTAGTAAAAAAAATTAAATGCGACTATTTCTGAGAACTTTTTACTTTAACAAAATTTAAATTCTAAATTTAAATCTGTAGAATAAACATTGCCTAAATGAATATCTATAGCGAAGTATGAAGATCAGAATGACGTGGATCAATAATGAGACACCAAGCTCTGAGCCGGTAGGATCAGAAATCGATAAATAGCTATGAGACGCCGGGCAAAAGGATCTATTTTAGCGATAGCACTTGCTGAAACTCTGTCAAACTAGAGAGAGAAAAAGAGAATTTTAGTGAGAGCTGAAAGATCAAAGTAATTAATACTGAGTTAAAAATAGAAATTGATTCTAACACCGTCATTAATTAATGTTAGCATGAATTGAGGTGTTACAAAGATTATCCCTGTGAAGAAATTTTCCGACAAATTTGAGCAGTGGATGTAAAAATTGAAGTGTAGTTTCATTTTTTGATATTTAATTGATGTTTCTCGAAAACAATACTAATATTTATGAATTGTTGTTCTTATTTCTCTGTGTTAGTTTCCTTACACTTCCTTGTATACGATTTGACATCGCAAATAAAAACATCATACTAATTGTGAAATTACAAACAAACAAAAAAACAGAGATTTACAGTCTAGATTTAAGGAATTGCAGTCTTTCGCGTCTGAATTGGTGTTTGATCCCATTTTGATTAAAGAAAAAAAAATATTATATTGTTCGCAAACTTTGTTAGTTAATGCATGTTATAGAAAAACCTGTAAGTAGAAAGAATTGGCGGCTGAATAGATCCTCTAGTGCTAGTTTAAGGGTAACTATCTAATTCGCCTATACTTTAATAGTAGCTTTTGATAAGTCAACTTCCAACTTATACAACAACAAAAAAAAAAGGCACACACACACACACACTTCCAACTTATCCAAAAGACACGGTTCGGAGGTTCAGACAATTTAACAAGAAGTGAAGTTCTAATATTGATTCTCTATTCAAAATATTGTAACAAATTAATTTATTTTAAAAAAAAAAAAAAAGAAGAAGAAAAACCTTCAACGAAAACCCAATTTCATTTCTTCTATATTTTTACACTGTGATTACAATATGTATACATATCAGAGTACTTGGGACATCAAAGCCCAACATAATATAATTGGAGTCACTCACAATTATAATGCACCCACTACATTTTGCGGGCATATGCTTTATTTTCTATAACAATAAAAAAAAAAAAAAAGGCAAACAAATAAGCCAAAAAAAATTCAAATTGCGTAGTGATCATTATCAGAACCTTTGTCACTAAGGGAAAAAAAAAAAGGATGAAGAATCACAATCTCTTTATTATATTGAGAGTAAGTGAGGAAAAATGCCAAAAAAAAAAATTAATCTTGGGAAATCAAATAATATTTCCCAATTAAACTTCAACCTTTTTTGTTATTCTTGATCTCTTCATACTCAAGAAGTTCCTCCAAAACCTTATCATCCAAATACTCCAACTCAATAACTTGTTTCCCGTGCTGACTACTACCACTGCTCTCCCCGGAGCCTCGCATTGAGGTAGAAGATGATGAAGAAGAAGCAGCTGATATAGAAGACGATGAAAATGACGACGAAGAAGAATACCTCGAGCCCGCGGTCAACGGGTATTCCTCGGGGAAATTGAGAATGGCGAGCGGGCCTCTCATGGCGTAGGCGGCACGGTCGTAGGCACGGGCGGCCTCGTCGGCCGTGCCAAACGTGCCGAGCCACACTCGTGCCCCGTGTCGTGTCGAGTCCCGAATCTCCGCCGCGTATTTTCCCCATGGCCTCCTCCTCACTCCCCGGTACCTAACGCCTCCGGAGTCCTTATCTTGATCCATATAATCTTTCTAATTTCTTTTATTTTTTTATTTTTTTTTTTATAATGTTGGGAATTTTGTTAAATTTGCATGGCTTGATTGTACAACGAAACAATATGGGATGATTGGGTTGATTTTATACGAGCGGAAATTTCCAAAAACAAGTCACTGTGTGTTAGGCCCAATAGGAAGACGAAAGGGGAGGTGGGGTCCAGAAAACCCACGCGTCGAAATTCATGGCCATGATTCATTGTTGTCACGTGTTCAACAGGAAATACCAATACTACTTCGAGAACAACAATGGCAAAGTTTGAGTCCAATGAATCTGGATGGTCAAGCCGGTGGCTATGGAGTTCATGAAGACCCCCACCCCCCTTTCGGTATTCTCTCGTCACTTTTTGGTTTTATTCACACAGATTTTAGATTCTAGCCCCACATAGAAAAAATAAAAGAATAAAGAATAAATAAAAGAAGTCTTAAATTTCGGAAAAAGACAAGATTTCGTTAAGAATCCACCATTGTCCCAGACTAGGACTAGGACCCTGGATCAATATCATGTCGTTTTATCATTTATGCATAAAAATTTCAATTTTTGTTGTTGCTACCCTCTCGAGAGTTTTACCGTATCTCTTTGGAGTTTTTTCCAAAGAGACTGTCCTTGTTTAAATAATTAAGAATGAGAGAAAGATGGTCAAATATTTCGCTTCTTTTGCGGTGAAAAATTCAGGATCCTAGGAGTAGTCGAGTGGGCGACCAATATGTGTTGGGCAAAGTTCTAACGTTGGCCCAGCATAATAAATAAGTGGTGATGACGTCATCATGATGACGTCATCTTGTCTTTATATTCTTTTCCTCTATTAATGTTCAGCCATGAGGTTTTATTTTCAGTGTGAAGCTTTTTTGCAGTTGTTGTTTGTTATCTAGCTAGTTAGATTCTCGTGTCCAAAAGCTCTCTGTATTATTATTGAATGAGATAATGCGTCACTATCTTCTTCTTTCGTTTTTGTTTTCTGGTTTTTTTTTTTTTTTTTTTTTTTTTTTTTTGAGGATGATAATGTGTCACTTTCTTTGTAATAAGAGATTGATTTTTATTCTTCTCAAGAGATTGATTTTAAGTGGTCCTTACAAATGGTATCAAACAAACCTCTTCTTGCAGGCTATGTAGTGCTTTCCACCAATTAGCAATGAATTCTTTTGTAGACAAAGGAAAAACAATTTTAAGTAATAAAAAAAAAAAAAAAAAACAGACACTGAACTCAGGATGGAATTACGTCGATTCCATATATCTTTTGTATGATCTGATTCTTGTGCGTCTAAGAATACGAATATTTCTATGCTCATTTTGGTGCCCACATTAAGGTGATTTGAACCACGAGATATAAAAAAAGAAATTAAAAGGAGAAAAAGAAGAGGAATCTTAATTATAAACTATTTGATGATTCAAAATTGTACTCTACCGTCATACGCTATCACAAAACTGGACTCGGGGGGTTTTTTTTTTTTTTTTTTTTTTTTTTTTTTGGTTCAAACTAAAGAAAATAGGAATTAAAATGCTGTATCAAAGATTTGTTTACGTAGGATTGCATAGACCGTATGCTTCGTCAATTCTGATACACTATGGAGGCTTAAAATTATTCTGCAGACCGTAGACTTTCTCTCGTCTGCAAATTTGTTATCTTGTGGTTTATGTAATGCCATTTCATCTCTGAACTTTGTTATCATGTTTAATTTTTTGTGGCTAATTTAGTTTCGTCCATCCACTTTTTGGTGCTTCTATTTGATGCTGTTTGTCTGTTCAAGTGTGTACATTCAAGACAAACATCAGTTTTGAAAAAAGGAAGACCAAGTAATATATAAGAAATCCCTATTATGCTATTATATATGTCATATATGTGTTATATATGATATACTATATGGGTCCCTTTGGTGCGCGAATTAGAGAGTGGACATTTTTAAAAGACTGAATTAGTTAAAGTTTTGTCTGGCCTATACTCAAATCAAGGGGATGTTGTATGTTCGAAGCATGGGATAATGATGTAGCGGAAGCTTAATTAAAGATAAATAGAAAATAAAAATAAATAGGGGTAAATCAGTTAGTATATTGATTCACATAGAATAGTAACAGCACTGTTTCAAAAACGGTTGATTCACACAAGATGTCGGAATTTGAGAGAAAATTTGAGAAATTTAAAATTTTTATTCAACTAAACTTATTTTCATTACAAGAGGGCGTCTAAATATATAGGCAAAATAGAAACTGGAAATTAGCCTATTCTGAATTAAAAAAAAAAAATACAAAGCATTCAAAAAAAAGGAAAATTTTGAACTGGAAACAAGAATTAAATTTACCAAACACAAGTAAAAAGGAAACGCAATCGGAATTATAATCCGAATTTTCAATATGTCAACTTATTACAAAAAAAAAAAAAAAAAAACACTCTTTTAAAGACCTAAACAATGGAATTTGCCCGAAAAACGTCTCACTTCGTGGCGAAACAAAGAGTTTTGTCCGTTGAGCCATTTTCACCCAGAAAACACATATTTTTCATTCAAATCCGACATCGCCAAAAGGCCCATGAAAACTAAAAAATTTGTCTTATTTGACTTTCGGATGTTCCCAACATTCCATAAAGGCGAGATCCTTCTGCACCTCATCAAATAACTTCTAACTAGATCACATTGTGAAAAATATTGGAGACCTATTTATAATTTTTATAAGATTTAGGATCTAATCGTAAGTTTTAAAAATTGAAAGGTCAAAATACAATTTTTATATGAGTGAAATATTTAAAAAGATTATATTTTTCTCCTCAAGTTTTGGAAAATTACAACTTGATCTCAAAGTTTAGAAATATTTACAAAAAAAACACCCTTATCCTAATAACACAATATCAAATATGGGATTGGACTAAAGTATAATTTAGTCCTATCTTTTTGTATACATTCCAATCAATTACTCTAAAAGTATCTTATCCAATATTGTGCTATCATGCATGCCAAACGAGGTCTATATATTATGTTATATTTTTATATATAGGCCCGAGATCATTTCTTTACTGATTAGTTTAATAATCTGTGTTTGTTTGTTATAATACTAATCAATATTGCTTGATAATGTCATTTAATTATTAAGCCGTAAAACAAAAATGAAATACAAGCTAGCTTATTTTTTAACCCCGTAATAGCCTATCGTTATCAACATAAGAATTGAAAGCTTTTGATGATGTGATGATAGAACTTATTTTATATTATAGGGCTTACGAGTGTAAGGTCCTTAGCCACCTTGTACTTTGTAACATTGTCTCGAGGAAAATTGCTGGTACATGTTGGATGGCTCACATATTGTAGTCTCACTTGACCCGGCCAATCATAAGAAAATGAGAAAAGAAAAAAAATACCCTTTAGAAGTGTATAGATCAAGATTTCTATCTCACACACTCTTATAAGTAAATTCTACAATTTTCTCTAAATAAATTGTGGCAAATAGAACGTTCTAGTGGAGATAATCACCATGTCCTAAAAAATGCTCAATCTACAAATCAATAAAAAAAAAAAAAAAAAAATGTTCAATTTCTATAGATTGAAAGTCTTTGAGATTTTTCATGAATAATGCTACTTAGAAGCTCCAACATTTTTTTTGTTTTGATTATTTTCATCGGTACCTTTTCACCTATGGATCTCATTTCAAAATGCCTATAATTTCTTAAAACCTTTAAAAATATCCCGCCGCAATAGAAAACCACTCAAAATTCCTCATTCGTCCGCTTCTGCTTATCAAATTAACGAAAATACTTGCGTGGCAATAAAAAGGAAGTTTAATGGAGGGTATTCAAGTAAAATCGCTTACGCGGCATGTCATTAAAACATTAAGAAAAACCTATAAGGGAGCTTTTGGTATACTGTAATGAGTAGGAATCATATTACTGAGAAAGTGATAAAGGTTAATATGGTTTCCAGAAAACATATATTATCATGTTTGGTTACGCATAGGAATTTAAGATAAAATTCTTGGAAATATCATTTTGTTGTGTTTGGTTAAGCACAGTAATTTTTCTTATCTTCCTCTTCTCTTTCCACCACGAATTGTTTCACCATCAAACCCAAAGACAAGGCCTCCGACCCCAAACCATAGGCCGAACTCCTTTGGGTAGTCGGCAATAGGCTATTGAAAGAGCTCTTGGTATTCTCTTTAGTTCTCCCCTTTCTCGCTCCACCAAAGCGTTGCTCTCTCTATCTCTCTTCATTAGAGCATTGTTGTTGGAAAGTTTAAAGAGTTGGGAGGCCGGTAAAGAGGCCGAGCCAGCCTAGAATAATGGCAATTTTTTGCGAAGCCTCAACTTTAACACCATTGAGCGTACGATGGAGCAACCACACTTGAGATGGAAATTCGTCCTCTATCGAAGATGAGATAAACATATCAACAAAGAGAGAAAGAGTGGAGAGAGAGAGCGATAGAGAGAGAGAGAGAGTAGAAAGAGAGAGATCGATGAAGATAGAGGGAGTAGCGGGTGGGGAGGTGGTGGTCAGCGGCAAGGTGGTGGTGGTGAGGGTGGGCTGTAATTTCAAATATTTTGGTGAGATTCCCATAAATATGACATTTTTGGGCATTTGAATAACACCCTGTTGGGTGTTATTCAAATTACCCCAATTTGGGGTAAAGTGAATCCTGTGAAATTTACTTTCTCGGGAATGTAAAAATTATAATTCATGTATCAAACATAGGAATGTGAGAAGATTCTTGTTCTCATCTAAAGATTACTGCATACCAAATGCTCCCTAAGTTCTTCCTTCTTCAGCCTCCTCTCCCTCTACATCCTCCATATTTGAATCTCATGAGCACATGACGGGCTAAGTTTGCGGCAGAGGATTGGTTCACAAGTGGGACTGAATGCGATGGTGCTCGGGCCTGCAACAGGGCAGTTGGATTTGCAACGACACGGTGTTTGCATGGACAAGTGGGTTTGTGATGGGGCAGTTGGTTTCACGATGGTTGGGTATTGCAAGGCAGATGTAGTTTGACCAGAGGGATGGGAAGGGAGATAAACCAAAAATAAGTCATGCAAAAACGTAAGGGACTGAAAGGGGGCTTGACTGCGGATCGGGTGCTCACGTGGCGAA